GAGACAGTGACAGGGACAAAGAGGGGTGGGGATGAGAGGAGGGAGGAGGAGCAGGAGCAGGTAGAGGAGCAGGAGGCGCAGGAGGATCAGGAGGAGGTGGCGGAGGAGGAGGAGGAGCAGGAGGAGGAGGAGCAGGAAGAGGGGGGGGGGAAAGGGGATGGATTGGATGGAGAGCAGAATGAGGACGAGGAAGAGGGGTAACAGAAAGAGAAGGACAAGAAAGTACAGAATAGAAGAGGATGAATATTGGCGAAAATCAGAATATGAAGGCGAGGAGAGAACAGAGTCGAACAAGGAGGAAAGAGAGAAGATGCGAAAGGAAAAAACTGTTAAGGTACAGGAAATGAGCAGAAATTTACTAGATAAGTGTGGGGGAACGAGGAAAGAAATTCAGCAGGAAGAGAAAGCGGGGAAGGGAACAAGAAGTCATATCGAAGCAGAGTAGCGGGCCAGGGAGTAAGTTGTGTATCGCGAGATCAAAGAGGAGAATGAGGGGCAAGAGCACCATCCCCCCCATATGATTGCGCGGTGGGACTAGAGTTGTGGATATACGACAGACGGGGGACAGAAATTGTACTGAGACGGAGATGCGAGGGAGAGAAGGGGGGGGCTACTGGAGGAACTTCGAATATGATCGAGGAAAGAAGGAGCAGTATCATTGTCAGAAGCAGGGTCAGGACCAGGACCAGGACCAGGACCAGGACCAGGACCAGGACCAGGACCAGGACCAGGACCAGGACCAGGACCAGGACCAGGACCAGGACCAGCAGCAGGACCAGGACCAGGACCAGGACCAGCAGCAGGAGCAGGAGCAGGAGCAGGAGCAGGAGCAGGGTCAGGAGCAGAAGCAGGAGCAGAAGCAGGAGCAGGAGCAGGAGCAGGAGCAGGAGCAGGAGAGGGGAAAGTGGAAATTTAGAAATTTTGGTATGAGACAGGAGACGAGGAGATCAGGAGAGCGGGAGAGCAGCAGGAAAGGAGAAGAGACACAGGGGAAGAAAAGGGGAGGTCGGTAGATCTGAACAGAACACAGCTATGTTGTCTTGCGGGCATCAGGAAGCGATCTGGATGGTTGACGAACTCTTACCAGGCGAAAGAGGAGAAATGACTGAGACGAAGGAGAAGGAGAAGGTCAAGGTTGAGATGAAGAAGAAGGCGACGAAGGAAAAGAAGACACAGGAGGAGACGAAGGCCCGCATGAAGACGCAGAAGAAATGCCAGGAAGAAGTGAAGGGCAACTTGAAGAAACGCGCGCAAGTCAGCGACGAGGGGCAAGGTTCGACGTGCTGGCGTACCGAGAGCACGCCCTGACGTGTTGAGTGTAGGGGAAAGAGAGGCAAAGAGGAAGAAGAGCAAGGGCGAAGAGGAGGAGGAGCCGGAAGATAAGGGGAGGGGGGAGGAGAAGGTATCGTTGCCTTGCTGGATGGGATGGTGGAGTTGACATGTTTGATGCAGAAAGCAGACAAGAAGAGATATACGGGTGACTCCTGCTCCTGCTCCTCCTCCTCCTCCTCCTCCTCCTCGTCCTCCTCCTCCTCCTACCACCACCACCACTACTGCTGATGCTGCTCCTGCTCGTACTGCTGCTCGCGCTCTGCCAGATGTTGCTCCTTTTGCTACTCTTTCTGCCGCTTCTGCTCCTGCCGCTACTGCTGAATCAGCAGAAAGACCTTCTCTGCCACATTTTCCCACAACGACTCTCCTCACTCTGTCCAGATCGAGTCTAACATGTTGTATCTTTTGCGCAGTGTTTGTTGGGAACCTCCCATACGACATCTCGCAAATAGACATCATGAAGCACTTTGACGAAGTGATGAAAGGGAATGTGAGTATATCAATGAGAGCTGCCGATGCTGAGGCGATTCCCTGCCTCTCATCTCTCCCTCTCTTTTTTTCCTGTTCTCCTCCTGCTCTCCTGCTCTCCTCTCCTCTCCTTTTTCCTCCTGCTCTCCTTTCTCCTCTCCTTTCCTCTCTCCTTTCTCCTCTCCTCTCTCCTCTCCTCTCCTCTCCTTTCTCCTCTCGTCTCCTCTCCTCTCTCATCTCCTCTCGTCTCCTCTCCTCTCCTCTCCTCTCTCTTCCTCTCCTTTCCCCTCTCCTCTCTTTTCCTCTCCTTTTCCCTCTCCCCTCCTTTTCTCTCCTTTCGCCTCTCCTCTCTCCTCTCCTCTCTCCTCTCTCCTCTCCCCTTTGTACGCTTTGCTTTTCCCTCTGCTCTATCCCCTCTCCTCCCTTCATTCCTCTCCTCCATCTCCTATCCTATCCTATCCTATCCTGTCCCATCCTCTCCTTCCTTTCCTGTTCGCTCCCCAGCCCTTTATCCGATGTGTCCCATCCTATTTCACCCCCGCACTTCTCACCTAGATCTGCAGGGAGTTGTCTCCGTCCGCATGCTCACAGATCGAGGAACAGGGCAGGTGAGCAACAAGTTTGTGCTCGCGTACATGCTCACGCACAACATCCTGTACAGTTCAAGGGAACTTGTTTCATCGACCTGCAAGACACCGTCTGCTACACGTCTGCTCCTCCTGACCCCTTGCTTGCCGCTGAACCTGAGAGACAGGAGGGCGTTGAAGATGCACCATACAAGCTTGGGGGTAAGAAGAAGAGGAAGAGGACGAGGACGAGGACGAGGACGAGGACGAGGACGAGGGCAAGGAGAAATGGGCAGGACGAGACGTGGGGTAAAATCAGCGTGCGAGGGCAGGACGAGAGGAGGAGGAGGAAGAGGAGTGGGAGATGTCTTACAGGAGGAGGAGATCCTGAGTGGTGCGCAGGGGAGAAAAATCAACGTGGAGCCAACGGTGGGAGGAGGAGGCAAAGGTCAGTCAAGAATGGCGAAGCTCTCCAAAAAGGTGAGGGCCAAACAAGGCAGATACGGATTTCAGTCCTTTCGCGTTTTATCTTGACATGTGATGGTTGTATTTTACATCACTTGGCTCCACGGTTGTCGTTTCTAGCGTTTGCCCCCGAGTGACTGACAATCTTTGTAGTAACCATCTGTGTTGTAACCAGCTCTGTTGTGTCAATCTCTGTTCTGTCAATCTCTGTTGTGTCAATCTCTGTCCTGTCAATCTCTGTTGTAACAATTTCTCACGTCAACATCGTGCTACTTTCTCCTCTCGTCACTCCTCCCGTTCCTTCTTCTCTCTTCCCTCCTGACATTTGGCATCGTTGCAGACCAGCTTGATCAGTCAGAAACGCAAACAGCGAGTGAAAAGAGAAAGTGAAAAGAAGAAAAAGACAAACAACAAGAACAACAACAAGAACAACAACAAGAACAACACTTCTTCTTGAATCTGTCCAACCACCTTGTAATTTTTACGTCGAATGACAGTCATGTTGTAACAGTGGTAACAGTGAGGATTTTGGACACATCCCAGTAGACGTCAAATCCCAATGAAAATAATAACTCACAGAAATGGACAAACTCGAAAGAATCAGCATACACATGAAAGTATTCCCATCAAAACTGAAGTCGTATTACTGGAAAAACGATATTGCATCTCTTTCCCTGCTCCTCCTCTCCGCCCTCCCCTTCACACACAAACCCTTATCTCCTCCCTCTCCCCTCCCCCTGCTGCAGTCCTCCAGGCCTCTCCTCCACGCTTCCCTACTGCCAGCACATCCTCCCGCTCCTGTTCTTGAACAGGGGAACCGGCACCGTCTTCGTCTTCCACCCCAATCGCTGCCAACCTCGCCACCACTCGCTCCTCTCCTCCTCCTCCCTCATGCTAGCTCTCACCAGAGATTTGCCTTCACTTTATTGAGATGCCACAGGCTCTCATCACTGTAATCAATAAAACTTGTCACCATGCCTGTACAAAATGCAGGACCAAAGATGGGAAGAACGGGGAAAACGCGTATGAAGGAAGAGGTATAGGAACAGGCAGGCAACGAAGAGGGTAAGGGGAGAGAACAACATCAGACAGGGTAGAAGAGGATATGATGGGATAGAACAGGAGGAGAAAGATGTACAGGGAAGAGCAGGAGAAAGAAGAGCCCGAGCACTTTTCCTCGTGAGAAATCTTACAGCAGGCACAGCGGAAGCAGCGGAGGAGGCAACCTCTCCTCGTTTCATCTGCTTCCCCCTCAACTCTCTCCTCGTCCACTCGAGGGCCTTCGCTGCGCCTTCAGATCAGATTCCACATGCTGCAGCGCCTCCTCCAGCAGCGACGACAAGGACAGCGACGCGGTTTGCGCTGGCAACCCCCACTGGAGCTGAGCAGCGTCGACCCCCGCCTCCGCCTCCGCGCTCTCGTCCTCGTCCATATCCTGAGACGAAGTCGGCATGCCGGCTGCTCTCTCCTGCCGACCGTCCGCCTCTCCTCCTCCTTCCAGCTCAGGAAACCTCTTCTTCCTCGGCTTCGAGTCCTTGGACCCTACCGGCCTCCCGGGTCGTTTCAGGACGAGCTCGGTGAAGCTCTCCTCCGAGTACTCCGCCGCCTCCTTGTTCTCAGCTCTCTCCTTGAAGTACTGCTCCCGTTCAGCTGTCGTCCACATGCTCGCAGTGGCATGCGCCCAGGTCCTCCGATTCTGTGCAGGAGATCAGGGCAGGAGGAGAGGAGGCAAGGGGATGTATGAGGTAGAAGGGAGGCGGAGGTTGTGAGCAGGAGAGGAGCAGGAGCACGCGAGGCTCTAGCGGGTTTTGTGGTATGAGAGCAGAGAGAAGCAAGACAAGCAGGCAGTTAGCAAACACGGAGGACCATGGGAAAGATCAACACAACAAGCAGCCGATGGGATTCAAATGTATACGGCAAATGTCACAGCAGAAGTACAGCACGCCAACAAAGTTTTCACAGTCCACCTACCCAGATGTCTCTAACAGCTTTGGGGCTGACATGATACTCGTTGGCAAGCAACACGCTCGACTGGGTTGTGGAGAAGGAGCTGAAGCCAGCTTCGCCATGTTGCCTTCGAGCGTATATGGCTCGGGCCACTTCACTGGTCAGCGCAGCTCGCAGAGGACGTCGATCACTCAGATCACTCATACTCGCAGAGCCAGGGACTCATCGCCTCATGCCGCATGCGCGTGCAAGTAACATCCCTGACTTCGAATCCAGCTTCACATTCGCTACCTGTAAAACGTTGACATCCCTGTCAAAAACTGGCAGCATGAACAAAGGCAACAGCTGTGCGATGCTCGCTCCGGTATCAACTCTCGAGATCTGGAATCTATGAACTATGCATCATGCACTGTCTACCCTGGACCGTTGCATTTCTCATTCATACACTCTGCCCGTTCCTCTTGTGATACTCAACAAGCTACACGCTTTCGTAAATGCGTATTACTCTTTTTCCTAGATTGGAATGTTGTAGTGCTCATCAGATCAACCAGGAAGGAGCCAAAAGCGCATCATCATGTTACATCTGGGGAATCAACGCCTAACTCCCGCCACAATCACAGCATCAGGCAAGCAATGTTGAACAAACAAGTTCTCGTGCTGCCGTAGGACGTCAGGGTCCTGTTCGTCAGCAGCTTTGCGCATGTTGTCCACATCTCTTTGATGCAGACATGATTTCGTATCGTCATATCACAGCTGAAGCGCAGAGAAGATGACTTCCTTGCGCACCATTCTACTTCTTGCAGCGTAATCCTATGCGGGACTCACGAACTGGACAATTCCGACGCACTGCCTAGAGGACGAGGCATGCGTGCTCAAGGGTGTTTCAGCTTGCGTGCTCACGGAACTCTTTCTACTTGCTTCCTTGTCCTCGCCCTCCTCGCTCTCTTCGCAGCCGACCCTCCCCAGCATCACCTTGCCTGCCCTCACCTTTCGTCCCCCGGCATGGCCCTCGTTTTCTGCTCCGACCTCACAACCCCCATTTCCCCACCCCCACCCCTACCCCCACCCCCACCCCCAAACCAGCACACCCTGATTCTCCTCACCCCTACCATAATCCAATGAACTCACCCCACTTTTAACCCCTCTGGATTGCCCCACCCCACCCGTCACCCCTCTGGATTGCTCCACCCCCACCCGTGTCACAACACACCACCTACCCACCTCCATTGGAGCTTAACCCACGAGGCCACCCCCTTTCCAAGGAACTTGGGCAAGTTGTACCCACCCCCCTCGAGAGGCTGGGCTTGGGTCGGATCTCACCACCCTCTTTGCAGATGTGTCGCTCTGCCCCCCCACCCCTGGTGACACATACAAGATCTATAATAGATTTATGTGGTAGTAAAGAATGAAGTTTTTATGTTATTCTTAGTGCCGTTTCTCCCCATCACGAGGTTCAGGCAAGGGGTGGGGTCCTTTGATATCTACAGTTGGGGTAGGGTTTTTATTTGGTTAGTTAGCCTTCGTTATCGATCTGACCCCAAGAAAAAAGAACCTCCGAAAAGCAAACTTTTCGAAATGCGTCTTGATTGCACTCGAAGTGACGCGGGTGTGCAGGTGTATTTAAGACTAGGAAGGAGGGGTGGTGCCTCGTCGGAAAGAGGAAAGGAAGGAATAGAAACGACACGTGGGTGGGGTGGGATGGGGTGGGGTGGGTGGGGTGGGGTGGGGTAGGGTGGGTGATGGAATGCCGGGGGGTGGGGTAGTATGAATTTGAGGCTGCAGGATTGGGTACGGTGGTAGGGTGAGGGGGGCTGACTTGCAGCATCCCCTCACGATCTCCGATGGACATCTGAAGTTCCACCCCCTCCCCTTCCACCCCACCCCTTGTCGTGGACCCCACTAATCAGAACCCAAGTCGGCGTAACGACCTTACAAGTACAGGAAATCTCGTCAAAGATCACTTATATAAAAACCCTTGACCCTCGCCCCCACCACCCTTCCCCTCCACCCACGCCAGTTGCCTCCCCCGCCTTCCGTACCCCTACCCACCCACCCTCATATTTATGACACTGACTATCAGAGGACCCCGTGTAGCGCAGGATTTCAGATACCAGCAGATCGCAATGGTTGGCAAGATCCATCTCGCACTCGAGATTCAGATCTCAGGTATCTCAAGCGTTTATGACTTGCCAGATCCTTCTCGAATCTCGCCCCTGCCCAAACGCCACAGGACCCACATCCAAACCGGCCACTCATCATGTTTTTGACACTGAATGATCATCCGGCAATCATGGCCCAGTGGGGCCCGGATCATGATACCGGACCAGGCTCGGACTCCGCGGCAAACTGCAAGCACGCGCCGGGCAGCACAGAGGAAGGTCCGAGGGCATCATCGTTCCGAGTCACAGGCTGGCGGCCGGCGGATCGGAGGCTCGGCGAGCTCATCATGTCACAAGTTAAGCCTGCCGTTGAGTCGGCGACCGTCGTTGCCCGCAGTTTTTCAGTTTTTGCAAGCTTTATGATCATTTTCAGAAGTTCCGAGTTCGGATTATCGGCTCACAGAGCGAAGAATGGTCTTTCTTCCCTGAAGTGACAGTGCCATCCGGTGGCCGGGCTGGGCCCGGATGAACTCCGAACCAACAGACACCCGTTCACCGTGACACTGAGAGACAGTGCAGTGCAGTGGACGGTCACTGCTCTTACTGTGACAGGGCCGTGAAACTTGCCACAGCAGTAAATGGCGCTCTGAACAATCTCCAATAATCCGAAACTTCGGCGGATGACTCAGACCCCAGTGAACTAGCTTGATGGAGACTCTTGACAGTAGCACAGAGCCTCGGAGATCGCTGATTGGACGACAGCTACCTTCCGATGATCGCGGGAACTTCAAGGGGACGATCATGGAGCATAACTGGAGGGCCTGAGACTTCAGAAAATCTTGAACCGAATCACTGCTGCGTTTACTAGAACATACATTCACTGCGGTATCAGCCTTGGTCCGGTGTACCACAATATACCTAGTCCTAGACTACTCGTCACCTGACTCGCCACTGTATGCCAATATTTCTCCGTCCCTCAGCACACATCGGCATTTTCCTCTTCCGTCCACCAGCAGCACATCCAGGCCTTCGACGAGCTTTGTTTCTTGCAGTTTTGCGATCATGATCGCAAGCGCTTCTGCATGTGGCTGATCCCCTCCTACCACATACCCTCGGTCGATAGTGCTCGATACTTGCATAGCGTGCAACGGTTTCGAGATCTCGTGCATCAAGTTTGCGAGCTCTTTCGAAACAGATTGTTCTTTGCCTGCGAAGCCAAAGTGTCGCAGCTGCCCGCAGACTCTCCTGCTGTACTCACTCAACGTATTCTTCGGCCCCGCCAACAAATGGCCCATCACAAACGTCCTGACACCCTCCGTAAGAGACACGGTGCAGTCGTACCGTGCTATCGCGATCTCAATCAGCGCTCGATTGTTGACAATGACCCTCATTTTCGCTTCTTCGCTCAAAGCTTTCAGCTTCATTTCCTGCAACTGGTCGTTGAGCGCTTTGATGAATTTGTCCCTGTTGGATTTGAGATCTTCAATCTGTCTCTCATACCTCTCCAGCGTTTGGTTCTTGTCGGACTTGAGATCTTGGATGTCGGACTTGAGATCTTGGATCTGTTTCTCATACCTCTCCAGCGTTTGGTTCTTGTCGGACTTGAGATCTTGGATGTCGGACTTGAGATCTTGGATCTGTTTCTCATACCTCTCCAGCGTTTTGTCCCTCTCGGATTTGAGATTTTGGATCTGCTGTATATCTTGTTCGTACAGGAAAGTTAGGATCTCAATAGCCTTCGCGTTGCCTGAACTTTCTGCTTGTCTTGAAGAAGCTCCGGTGTCGACTCAGCTCTTCCGAGAGCTTGCAGTACCGCCGAGTGAGTCTACCAAAAGGGGCTCTATGATGGAGTTAGGGGGATGAAGAACATCGCAGTAGGAGAAAGGCGCAACGGCATGACAGGGATACAAGTGGTCTCGACAGATTACCTGGAAGGCACTGGCCATGCCGAGAATGCGGCTGCCGCTGCTGTGCTCCAGAGGAGTATGCTGCAACATCGAATCGTCGACATGCTTGATTTCAGGCTCCTGACAGAGTCCACCCCACGGCCCGTCCCTACCCACCCGTGTATGGCATCGCAATCCTACCAGGAACATAATAAACAACTGTCTAGGGGACGAGAGGGTGGGTCAGACCCGCAGGGGTGGGTCATCAGAGGCGCAGGGGTGGGTCATCAGACCCGCAGGGGTGGGGAAGACCCCACGCCGGGTAGAGAAGCTTCCAGATCGAGCCACCCGGCGACGGGCCAGCCCCAAACGCCACAGGGTGAAGAAAATGGTTTTTGATCAGGAGATACCGATCTCCTTCAGAGAACCCTCCGAGCGAGTGGAGAGTCGGGGTCGGAAAGAGTACCACAGAAAAAAAATCTCCAAAAAAAACGTTTTTTTTTGCCTTTATGCACAGAGGAAGGTCCGAGGGCATCATCGTTCCGAGTCACAGGCTGGCGGCCGGCGGATCGCTCGGCGCCGGCGAGCTCATCATGTCACAAGTTAAGCCTGCCGTTGAGTCGGCGACCGTCGTTGCCCGCAGTTTTTCCACTCTGGTGCCCTCTGACTTGCTCTACCTCCCTCCCTCCCGATCTCTCCAGGGTTCGTTCCTCCTGTCTACGCCCAACCCCCAAACCTCTCCTCCCCTACGTTTCGAAAATTCTTAGGAACACTCGGTACCTCGTCCAGTTCGCGCTCCCGCGCTCCCGCGCTCTGCTTCCCTTGCTTTGTGGCATCGCGATTGTAGCGAGGTCTCCAGTGTAACCGAGACATCTTGGTGGTACGTGGCGGCTGGGCGTTGCCAGGCATGGTTATGGGTATGGGAGACGGTCATATTACGAGCGGCCAATGTGGTGATGAACGAGCAAAGAAGATCTGCCATCGAGATGGTATCGGGTTGACATGATCAGAACAAGCGTTTCAAGGCTCATTGCATGCGAGCAGCTGGCATACAACAGAGAAGGGAGGGTTCTCGCGCAAGGCGCGCCTGCTTTTTCTGTCTGCTTGGGGCTGGTTGACATCGAGGTCGAACTTGCTGGGGTGAAACTTTCATGCGGATGCTGATGACGATGTTCGCTGTGTGACAAGTACTCTCTGTCTTCCTCCTCCTGCTCCTCCTCCACCACCACCACCACCTCGTCTCAGCTTTTTTGACGTGAGCAATGTGCGCTTGTGTTGTTGTCTTGACTTCAGCGTTCGCGTCTTCTCAAGAGACTTGATTTGTCTTGACGTGACAAGAATGCACTCTTATGAAGAAGTAGGAAGGGAGTATGACTGAGTGCATGGCTGAAACAAGGAGCAAAAGGAAGGGAACTCAGAAACAAAGACAACAGAAACTGGATTGAGTTGACACCAAAGACAGCAATAAAGTAACAAACTCGACAACAACGAAGAAACAACGAAGATAGCATTGAAGTGAACCTTGTGTTCTCATGATTGAAATCTCTTTGGATCTCCTACCCTATGCCATTCTTCGCTCCCTGAGAGATTATTGTATTCATCGCCGCACAGAACCAGGACAGAAAATCGACCCGCTTCTCTCCTCCTCTCATTCCACGTGCTGCTTCATTCCTATCGCCTTCTCCCTTTTCCCCCCCCTCCATCTCACCTCTTTCCCCTCCTCTTCCCCCCTACCTTTTCTCCCCTCTCCTCCACTCCTTCCATAGGAGCTGCGCAGCAACTTTAGCGTGTCAACTCCCGAGCTGTAGCGCACGGGGAGAAGGAGGTGTTTGTTTATTATTCTACACATGCTACCGCTCGCTGCTGCTCCCGCGCGACAGCTCCGGTTTCAGCTCGAGCGGGAAGGAGAGGAAACACAGGGTTATGGTTGTGCTGAAGACTATCCGGAAGACTCTGGCAACAAGGGAGGGGTCGAAGTTGGGTATGTTTGCAACCTTGGCGAGCGAGGGAAAGATTTCAGATAAAGCAGAATGACACCAGGTTGAGCATACCAGAGAGCGAGAGTGAGCGAGCAGGAGAGATCGGAGGTACCTACATGTCATTGTGAAGGGTAGGAGGATGGAAGGAGAGCAGAGAGGTCTCATCACCGAAGTGAGATGATAAGAAAGTCGAGGCTTGTCGAGATGATCCAGCTGCCGTCTCCCTTGGTCATCCTAGAAAGAGAGAGAGAGAACAATGTCAGGGGGAGCAAGAGGGCAGTGTAAGGAAGAAAAACAGAATGCACAATGCAAGGGAGAAAGAAAGGGAGAACAGTACTGAACCAAGAAGCAGTGATCAAAGAAGAAACAAACTTTCTCTCTTCCTCCCAAAATCCTCGTCACTTCATCCTCATCTCCTCCGTCTCTGCGTTCCTCTTCCTCGTAAAGGCATTCTTCCCTCCCTCCCTTCTTGTCCTCTCCTTCAGCGACCGCTCTGCTGTCCCTACCCTCCTTCCCCCTGTTCCCTTCCTTCTATCCCTCATATACCTGCTCTCCTTCTCTTCCTCCTCCCACTCCAACTCTCCTCCTTCCTCCTCATACCTGCAGTGCATGGAGGCGATAGGGGGAAGCGCATGGCAAGACTGCTCCGCGTCTCCGTCCAGCTCCAGCGGGAAGGACCGAGCAGCAGCATAGAATGAGGCGAGTGGGGCGCAGCTGACGAGGAGCGCGGCGAGCAGGTAGAGGAAGCGGGAGCAGATCCGCAGGAGAGTGGAGGAGCCGGACTCCAGTGACCTCATCCTCCTGACCCAGTGGAGGGCGATAAGCGCACTGAGAAATCCTGCGCCGAGGCCTGCCGGGCAGATGAGGAGGAGGAGAGAGGAAGAGGGCAGGGGAGAGGAGGGAGGACGTGGAGCAGGAGGAGCAGGAGGAGCAGGAGGAGCAGGAGGAGCAGGGGGAGGAGCAGGAGGAGGAGCAGGAGGAGGACGAGCAGGGAGAGGGCGAGACAAGAGAGAGGAGGGAAGAGGGCGAGGTCGAGGTGGTGGAGGACTGAGAACGAGGAGCAGATGAAGGAGATGAAGGAAGGAGTACCAAGGCCGAAAGGAACATTGTAGCTTCTATGAAGACTAATGCCCCTGAAGCTGAAAGGGACGAGAAATGAGCAGAGCAGGAGAAGAAAGAGCGAGGAGTGAAAGAAGAGGAAGGAATAGATGGGGGGGGAACAATGTGAGGAAGAGACAAGAAGAGAAAAATCTACCGGAGCGATGTGCTCAAGTACTGCAAACCAAACGAGTCAAACAAGAGGTAGAGAATAGGAGGAGCAGGAGGAGGGAGGAGCAGGAGGAGCAGGAGCAGGAGCAGGAGCAGCAGGAGCAGCAGGAGCAGGAGCAGGAGCAGGAGCAGCAGGAGCAGGAGCAGGAGCAGGAGCAGGAGCAGGAGCAGGAGGTGGTGATGGTGGTGAAGAAGGAGGAGGTCAGGGCAAGAAGGAGTGTTGCGAGAGGAGAAAGAGGAGCGGGAGGAAGATGGAGAAGTTTCAAGGAGTTTGTGAGCAGGTGGGCGAGGGGGAATTTAACATACCAGGACCAGAGAAGTCCAGCACGCGATCTTGAGGAAGCCGAGGAAGAGGAGGGGAAGGAGATGAGGCTGCAAAATTGATGAGAATGAGGAACGAAGGGAGGAGCAAGGAGCCAGGAGCGAGGAGCGAGGAGCGAGGAGCGAGGAGCGAGGAGCGAGGAGCGAGGAGCGAGGAGCGAGGAGCGAGGAGCGAGGAGCGAGGAGAGAAGCTGGAAGAAAGGAGGCAGGCAGGCAGGGAGAGAGGAAGGAAGGAAGGAAGGAAGGAAGGTGGGGGAGAGAGATTTGGAGGGGGTTAGCAATAGAAGGAGGGGGAGACAAGGAAAGGAAAACAAGATATCGAAGGAAGGAGAAAGGAGCAGGGGGGGAGAGGACGAGGAGGACGAGGACGAGGACGAGGACGAGGACGAGGACGAGGACGAGGACGAAGACAAGGGCGAGGACGAGGACGAGGACGAGGACGAGGACGAGGACGAGGACGAAGGACGAGGAGGGGCAA